ATAATACATGTACACCCGGGCGAAGCCGGGCCGAGTAGCTAGTTACAAAGTATAACAAAGTCACTGTCGCTGTCTGTACCCTATGTATGCTCAAATCTTTAAAACTACGCAACGGATTTTGAAGCGGTTTTTTTTTAATAGAAAGAGTAATTCAAGAGGAGGGTTTATATGTATAATACACCCTTGCAAAGCCCGCCCCCTTCGATCGATCCCCCGTCCAATTCAAACGGGGACCGATGTTACGACGGCCTGAGCCGAGGTTCGTGGATTGATAACCCCATTGCTAGCGGGGCGCTCTAACGCGCTTCCCCCTGGTAAAGTTTTATCCGTCAGTCACGATGGGCTTGGCCTTCAGCTCCATAAGTGCTTCCGCGGGTTTGGAGTGCCATTTGCACTTGCCCCCTATCGTCCGGTAAAGCTGTTAAGGCCAGCTGCGGCCAACAGCATTAGAGTAGTCCGAAAAAAAAGCGAAGGCCGGTTGGGTAGCTAGTAATATAGCTATGTATATTATCCTCGTTTCTAATGATTTGCTTGTCAAGATGCTAACGTTATCTATGTCAACTAAAGAGTTTATAAACTTAGTCATCAACGTTCAAATCTATGACGTAATGCGGCAATGCCCTCAAACGTTTAAAACGAAATCGCGCCAAAAACCCAGTAGAAAGCGTCGAATAGCGTCGCCTAGAATGACGCCCGTTTCCAGTTTTATTTATGTGGGACGGCTCATGTGAGTATAGCTCGCGCCGCGTCGTTACACGCATGTTTATGAGTGTATTATGGAACTATAGGATGACACTGCAAACGATTTGCAGTAGAAATTAAGTACTAATAGCCCTATTAAAAAGTAGGTTTTGGTGAAAGGATGGAAATGTAGGGTTATGTTTTATTTTTATTTTATTTAACAGAGCTCTTATCATTTGATAAAGGTTGTTGATGGAAGAAAATTTAGGGTTATGTTTCTTATTTTGACATACAAATTAATAACTAATATCACTATTTAAAAAGTAGGGTTCGATGGTAGAAGGGTCACAATTTAGGGTTGTGTATTTTTCATTTCATTTAACAGACCTTATTTCGACATGCAAATTAGTAGCTAATATCAGTATTGAAAAATAGAGATTGTTGGTGGAAGGGTGAAAATTCAGGGTTGTGTATTTTTTCATTCCGAATTATTATTATTCATGAATTTATAGATATTATTTTTAATTGTTAAATTAATCTATTTAAATATGTATGCTCCTAAATTGAGGCAGTTAAATAGTTGTCAATAACTGTATGACCTTGAAATTATAACAACATTATATATTTTATGAAAGTAAAATTTACTTCATTTCATTTCGTAAATAAAATTTAATAATTAAAAAATAAAATAAAATCCATCCTTATGTATCACTTAGAGGTATGAAAAATGCTACTAGTACTAAATAGTTTACGTCCTATACTTAAACCTACTGAATATACTACAAAATTTCATAAGAATCGGTCAAGCCGTTTCGGAAGAAGTTTGTTACAAACACTGTGACACGAGAATTTTATAATAAGATTAAGGACCGGTAAAGTGCGAGTCGGCTCGCTGGCGCGGGTCAGTGTTATTTAAAACAGGTTTATTTCTTTGTATAACAACTAGTTTTTACCGCCGGCTTTATTTGTGTTTTCTTTATAAAAATGCTAATGTACAATGTTAATGTAATGTACGACTTCGTAATAAGATTTAGAATACCTACAGACTTGCAGACACATTTTTAATATAATATCTCAGAACAATTCACACAGCGCCATCTAGTCCGAAGCTAAGCTGTGCTTGTGTTATAGGTACTAGACTAGTGATATATATACGTAGATAACACACAAGTTTCTTGCTCGTTCTTCTTGTGATGAGACAGCTTTCCGAACGAGTGGTAGATAAAAAACAAATTGTTATGACTATTCAAAAGTGCTTAAATTAAGTTTATTTGAAGAAATGATTTTCTATTCTATTCTATTCTATTCTAGATTTTTTAAAATACATAGATATTATACACAGCAAATATTCAAACTGATACAATCATACTCATGAATACATATGTTTGTACCGTGCGAGGTAAGAATACGCGACCATCGGAAGTAAAGCGCTGTGCTAAACCTCTAGACCAGAGGTTCCCAAACTTTTTTGTGTAGTAGACCCCTTGCCATATTTTTCAGTTTTGGGTAGACACCCCATTCTCAGCTGGTATTAATTTTTTGTAAATTTCTAACCGTATTAAAGTTTAGTGTTAAAAATAAAGTAAAAACAACAAGATGACCGCTGTCATAGACCCCTTGCAGTTTGTCATAGACAATCGATATAGACCACTTTGGGAATCACTGCGCTAGACCATATTAGGTATTAGGGATGTTATGGATATGAAATTTCGGATATGGATAGGTTTCGGATATGGGAATGATTATTATACCGGATGCGGATATGAAATTATTTCTAATTATCCGATAATTTCGGTTACTGATATAATTTTTTTAAGGAATTTCAAAAGTAAATAATATAGTAAACTCTTATTTCGGATTCGGTTACGAATATTTTTTTATATCGATAGTTTCGGTTATATATACGGACTCGGTATTCGACTATATATTTTTTTTTTATTTTATTTGAACTCTGACAGCTATTTTTACAGATCTTAGCCATCTATATCTATATCTATAGTCTATAGTGTAGCAATATATACTATATGTCTATACTATATACACGCTGGACCACATATACTATTATTCAATAGCATATTTTCGTTGGGAACCCTAAAAATGATTGTAAATAAATACATAAACGATCGTAATATGTTGACTAATACATAATCTGTTGTCACCGACACGCCTCACAAGGCGTGAATCATTGTAACGTACTGGAGCAAGGCCAAGAGAAAGCTCTCGGAGCTGATATATTCACCAATTTTATATTTACACGATCTATTTTAGGATAGTTTGATCTCAGCTGATCTGATAACTCTTTAGTTTTATATATTTAATCGAATTAGGTGTTAGTTTGCGGAAGTCCATTTCACTACTCGATGGATTTATATTATTTTGTTTAATTCCGCTACAATTAACATGAGACTACGAATATTCGGTGTGGAAACCTGACCAGGGTTACGACCTTCTCCAGTGCTGATCAACTTCCGACCGTTATTGAGTCTACACACATATCGCGACACGTGTTTCGCCTCTGAACGAGGCATCATCAGGCGTTAATTAGAGTTCGGGTACAGCTCGGAAGGGTAGTGTTGACTCATCGGCGCGGTTTGGTCGCCGTTCGAGTCGAGTTTTTAGTTTTAGTTAATAGTCTAGTGGTTAACAATGCAGATCTAGAAATCCCTTGTTGTCGTGAGTTCACGTCGGGGTCACCAGTGTGGTTAGGTTGGCGTGTTGATATACAGAAGGAGTGATATTAATAAAAGATTGAATATATGACAGTGTATATAATAAGAGAATTAAAAATAACAAATAATAATTAATTTAACAACTCATTTAGATCAGTAATTTTCAAGCGAATGAATTTGACATTTTTTCAATATACTTTTTATTAAATGTGTTTGTGTTATATGGCTAGTTTATGCAAGGAGGTTGGTAGCCTACAAACCTTTAATTTATATTAAAGTTTTTTTTCGGACTTCTCCTATGCTGTTAGCCGTAGCTGCTAGCTAGCTACCGTACTATTGGGGGCGAGTGCAGATGGCACTCCAAACAAAGGAAGGACTTATACAGCGGTTGAAGGCCAACTCCCGCCTGACGGGTACGACTTTTTTTTTATTGGGTTGTTTGGGCTTTTGTCAGATGTGTAGCACCTGTAGCACTGCGACCTACATAGATCTATTGTGTTCGCCCTTTTTCAAAGTTCGCTGCCTAGACCCGTCAGGGACAAGAAATGAAGGATATTCTTAAGAGCGATCGTTTTTATCGCCAATAACAGAGAGGGAGTGTAAACTTTCCAAAGGATATATTTCGTTTATGAGCATGATTGGGCTACAACCACATATGTAGGATGTGTAGGGGCTTTTCCTCTTCAGTTTGGCAGAATCTGCAGATACTTGTCGTTCATATATTCCCAACTTAGCCATATGCTTGTTCAATTTGCAGTGTCCTGTTTGTAATATTGAAATAACCTAGTCATTATGCATATATATGTTTAAATTACTCAATAGCAGTAATCTATTTTTTTTTTTGGTAGGTAACTGGAGTATTTGGTCGAATTTTAGAAAAATAATATTCAACACGTCTTTTGAATGTATTAATCCTGGCATTTCTTGCCAGTGATTACGATGGATACGACTGCGGGAGCAGTCTTCGACTTTAGTCACCGCTAGGGGTTCGGAACGACTTTAGTCTGAGGTCACCGCTAGGGGTTCGAACCTCGGTTCAGACCGTCGTAATTTTAATCCCCATTTGAATTGGACGGGGGATCGATCGGAAGGGATATTAAAGACGGAACTGTGATGTAAACGCCAATAACAGAGAGGGTAAGGGAATCGTTAGTAATGTGAACTGATGACCCCATTGCCAGCTATGGGCCACATGGCCCAAAAAATTAGCAGACCCTAGAAGCACACAGTAGAAAGACGGGTTCTGATACCTAGTTGTTCCAAATTAGAAGCATTAGTGCGGAGCTCCTTCCATGATATTCCCAACAACACCACATCTCGAAATCTATACATCTATACATATAAATAAAATTGGAGTGTCTGTTTGTAATATTGAAATAACCGAAATAAACGTTTTTACTACATGTATATGAATATAAATACGGTACATACAGCAAAATTACATTTTTTACAATTTTTATCTGTCTGGGTGGACCGATTTTGACGGGACTTTTTTTTTTGGTAGGTAACTGATGTAAGGAGTAACTTAGGCTACTTGAATTTTAGAAAAATAAAGTTAAATTCCATGCGGACAATGTCGCTGGAACAGCTAGTATAGAATAATTAATTGTTTCTAAAAATGTAAAAAAGTTAACACGTTCTTCTTTGCAGGTATTCCAGTGTCCCAACAGCACATACTGTACAATTTGAAGGAGCTGGACGATGCGTCGTCGCTGCGGGAGCATGCCATATCGGACGGGGCGAGACTGCGGCTCGTACTGGGCATGCGCGGCGGGCCTATATCCTCGAGACGACTGCCGCCGCCACCCAACTCGGAGCCCTGGCGAGACATCGAGAGACTGCTCGATAGCAACAGGTCGGTGTTACTTTTAAATTATACTATGATAATTCTCCTATACTCGAAGGTTGTCTGGAAGAGATCGGTTAAGCGATAAGACCGCCTTTTCCTTTGAGAAATAAGTTTTGACACTTACTATGATTTTTTTAAATTTAGGGACTTTTGTACCATCTAAGTACATGCCAGTCCCATTGTACCCTAAAACTAATCACAACATTACCTCACCGGCAAAATACTGTGTGTTTTTATGCCCAATTTACACTCAGCCCGAGTGGGCAGGGAAGTGAGCAGCGCGAGAGTGGAAACACTTCCCATGCCATTGGCGCTAAAAATAAGCGCTGCCCGGCGCTCCCTCGATTGTCGGTTTTTCGTGCGCGAGTCAAAGGACTGGCAGCGCGAGTGGCAGCGTGTTTTTACATTCAGCCCTCTCGCTCAGTTGTCGCCCGGCAATATTTCCGGCAGCGCGAGTGGCAGGGGAAGCGACTAAATGTAAACGTAACATTAAAGATGCTATTTAGAGTAATGTAGTAATATTTTTTTTTTGTTTATGCACGCATACACAAAATGTATCTTTATCAATTGTCTTGTACCAATATCACAAGCTCTGCTTACTTTGGTACTAGATGGTGCTGTTTAATTTGTCGTGGGTTAGAATATTATTGAAACATTTAAAACTAAACACACCTAAAAAGTTAATTAATCATAATAATATTATTATAAAAACTTGCCTTCAAAAGACTTGACTAAAATGTCCTACAATGTATAGATGTTTTTTTTTTCTATGTGTCAAGCAGAGAAGAGCCTGAGTGGTCAAATGGCACCGGGTGCAAGGTGACCGTGCTGGTGTTCCGCGAAGGCGGTCGCGTGAATCTGCTGCGGGTGCGGGAGAACCACGACGGGACCTACTCGCCCCTCGACAACAAATGTAAGTCTACCTGAAATAACACCGACAGCCTCGGTTGTCTGACGATTTAGATAGATATTTTGTTTATCAACAGATACACACATACACATTTTACAACACAGTATAAAATGCAAAAAAGCAGAGTATATAAAAAAGAAGAAACAGATACTATATATACAATGGTGGTTATATAATTAGAAACTTGTTTATATACTTATTATATACGCATTCAATAATTCAGGTTGCAAACACTGATTAGATTTTTTGTTTTTTGCAATAGCAAATGCTGGTGGTCACTCTATTCTCCCAAATATAAATTTTAATGACTGTATTATTGTGAACATGTACAACATTTATTTGAAAAGAATACGAGATGGGTTTCTCGTCAGTTCTTCTCATCTCGAAATCATTCCGAACTGACGGTAGATTTGACATATCATAAGAGTGTGTAATAGACCTACATGAATAAAGATATTTTGATATTATATTTACAATATTAATACTTCAATTTATATGGTCTACCCGGCCAGTTTTCTATATAAATCAACTGAAAATATTATTCATATAGGACATTTTAGCCGCTTATGAATGTCAAGTCTTCTATATAGTCATGTGTTGTTGACAGACTCATCATCAGTGACGCTGGTGGAGCAGGAGTTGGATGATGGGTTGTCGGGGTCGCTGCACGAGAATGAGGTCACGATGGGCAAGATGCTGGACCTGCGCCGGCGCATGGAGAACTTGTCCATACAGCGCCGCCGTACAGACACAACTGGTAATGTAATATAAAAAAGAAAGAAAGAAAGAAAGCGCTTAAGTTTTAGTTAATAGTCTAGTGGTTAAATATGCAGACCTAGAAATCGCTTGTTGTCGTGAGTTCCTTTAATTTATATTAAAGATTTTTTTTTCGGACTACTCTAATGCTGTTGGCCGCAGCTGACCTTTACAGCTACACCGCACGATAGCGGGCAAGTGCAGATGGCACTCCAAACCAAGGAAAGGACTTATGCAGCAGCTGAAGGCTCAGCAGTCTGACGGATACGACTTTAGTCTGCGGGTACCGCTAGGGGTTCGAACCTCGGCTCGGACTGTCGTAATTTTGATCCCCGTTTGAATTGGACGGGGGATCGATCGGCGGGTAGTTATTTTTGTATTTGTGTTATATTTTTGCTGTAATAAATAAATATGTAAAATTATTATTCCCAGGTAACAAACCAGAAATACAGAAGACTCGAAGCGAAGAAACCTTATCCGTCCCTAGTTTATTAGACGAGGCCACCGTTGAGCCGTTCAAGAATCGAACCTACACCCCGTACGAGGAGGAGACGTTCGCGCCACTGTACGATGGGAACTACACAAGATACGATTACGATTGTTCATTTGCGGACCGGTACACGCTGCTCCCCCCTATTGGCACTAGGACTGATTCTGATCAGTCAGTACAAGAGGTATGTCAATATAATTGCTTTTTTAAGGTACGGCCCGTCTGCGCTGATGGGTTATGCTGGCGGGGCACCAGTGGAGGATGATAAGATGAGCATGGGGTCAGGTCAATTGCCCATCTTGGTAAATTCATCAGGATCATCAATCGTCGATTACAACTTGGATGGGTAGTGTTCGGGAAGCTCCGATATATCTTTTCATCCAAATTGCCGTAGTGTCTCAAGACGAAGGTTTACGACCAATGTGTGTTGCCAGTGATGACTTACGGCATAGAGACGTGGTCACTCACTATGGGCTTCATAAATCAGTTTAGAGTCACTCAAAGAGCTATGGAGAGAGCTATGCTTGGAGATTTTTGGGGAAGCATTTTATTCAGTATTGGATGTTATCCGGGCTGAAATGATGATGATGGTGTTAGCATCCGTTAAGATAAAACTACTTAGTGTAGGGTGTGGTAGTAACTCTCGGTGGCAAACATCCAAATGTCACCGCATTTGTCGTCGCCTAAGGAGGGTGAGGCTGGGAGTAGCCTTTCATGCACAGAGCTGTAAAGCTTATGCTGTCTGGGTCACGGTGGACTACGACTTTGATCCCGTGACGCAAGCGCTAGTAGCGAGCGGAGGACACCAAGGGGGTGTAGTCGGTAGGAGTCCAGCAGTATTCGCGCGCCTCAGCCCAGGACGGATGGGTGGATCTCCATTACGGATTTACCCTTGTAAAACAATGGCCGGCTCCGTGCTGGTGCAGCGCCGGCCGCCGCTCGCCGCCGCGCCCGCGCTGCCCGCCGCCGACTACGGTACGTACCCCGCGCCCCGCGCCCCGCGCCCCGCGCCCCGCACGCGGGGGGCGGCCGCGGGGGGCGCTGTCGGAGGCGCTGGCCGGCTCCGTGCTGGTGCGCGCCGGCCGCCGCTCGGGTGTGGTAGTAAAGCGGTGTGTGTGCTCGCAGGCGGAGGAGAGGTCGCGTGTGGCGCTGTCGGAGGCGCTGGCCGGCTCCGTGCTGGTGCAGCGCCGGCCGCCGCTCGCCGCCGCGCCCGCGCTGCCCGCCGCCGACTACGGTACGTACCCCGCGCCCCGCGCCCCGCGCCCCGCGCCCCGCACGCGGGGGGCGGCCGCGGGGGGCGCTGTCGGAGGCGCTGGCCGGCTCCGTGCTGGTGCAGCGCCGGCCGCCGCTCGCCGCCGCGCCCGCGCTGCCCGCCGCCGACTACGGTACGTACCCCGCGCCCCGCGCCCCGCGCCCCGCGCCCCGCACGCGGGGGGCGCTGTCGGAGGCGCTGGCCGGCTCCGTGCTGGTGCAGCGCCGGCCGCCGCTCGCCGCCGCGCCCGCGCTGCCCGCCGCCGACTACGGTACGTACCCCGCGCCCCGCGCCCCGCGCCCCGCGCCCCGCACGCGGGGGGCGGCCGCGGGGGGCGCTGTCGGAGGCGCTGGCCGGCTCCGTGCTGGTGCAGCGCCGGCCGCCGCTCGCCGCCGCGCCCGCGCTGCCCGCCGCCGACTACGGTACGTACCCCGCGCCCCGCGCCCCGCACGCGGGGGGCTACGAATAACCTGGCGCGAAAGCACACAACCACCACACCATGACTCCGATTACGATAACCAAGCGCTACCACGCACAACCATACCATCACACCACTTGCCACTACACTGCACACCGAAAGTTAAGTCCCGTAATAATAATACTCATATCGTTACTTACATAGCCGTAAGTAGCAAACAGTTATATTATGTGAACTATATGATTCTAATATGTGTACAATGTGGTGATCATCAGGACCCCTGGTAGGCGGGGAACCTAGCGGCTGGCGCGCGGCAGGGTTCGGGTCCAGCTCGCAGCTGGCGCCGCACTCTCACTCCGCGTCGTCGCTGCAGACGCTGCAGTCTCTACAATCGCTACAGTCGCTGCAAACTCTGCGAGCTGCACCGGCGCCGAGACATCATCCGCCGCTCTCCGACGCTCTCTTCTCCTCGTCCACGTCCGATTTGGAGAAGCTCAAGCGGAATAGGTATGTATATTTTCGTATATTTCCTAGAGCCAGAGACTTTTTGTCAATAATTTTCTCCCGGTTGAAAACTTTTAAGATGGTTAAGAAAGCTCTTGTCTTTCTCCTCTTCCACCTTCAATTGGGAGAAGTTTATTATAATTTTTCAATCGGATATTGTCGTCAATAATTTCCTCTCGGTCGAAAGCTTTGAAGAAGGTTGAGAATGTTATGAATTTTAGCGAAAATTAGTTGTAGTTATAATGATGAGTTGAGTTCCTGTCGGTTGTTCTGTTTATGTATATTTATGGCGTATATCGCTTACGATCAGGTGGTGTGTCAGTTTTTTTATCCCTCTAAAGAAAAGACAAAATGGTCCAGATTAGAGGTTAAATACGGATAATGGAGTAGTCCCAAATAATTTCAGAATTCTACCAACACTGAGCCGCCACCGGAACCGGGAGCACCTGCACCTCAGCGACGAGGGCCTGCACCTGGTGGCCCGCGCCGACCGACCCGACCGGCCCAGGAACCTCGAGGTCGGCAGCGAGCGCCGCCAGCGACGCATACAGAAGATTGCCGAGATGGACTCGGAGCGGCTCCACCGCCTGCGGGACGACGAGCCCCGCCCGGAGCCCCGGCCGGAGCCCGGCCCGGAGCCCGGCCCGGAGCCCGGCCCGGGCGACCACCGGGACCACGAGAAGAAGCCGCGCCTGCGCTGCGGGCTGTGCCGGAAGCGGCTCAGCATCGCCACCGAGCACCGCTGCCGCTGCGGCGCGGCGTACTGCGCCCCGCACCGGTACGCGGAGGTGCACGGCTGCGCGTACGACTACAAGGCCGCCGCCGCGCGCTGCCTGGCGCGAGCCAACCCGCTCGTCAGCGCGCCCAAGCTGCCCAAGATATAACGCCCTCCGCTGCAGACCACTAGCCAGCGCGACCCAGATACAACGCCCCCCCCCCACACACACTACACGCGGCCGCCGACCACCTCGTGAATGCTTCCGAGATACAACGCCTCCCACTACACGCGACCGCCGACTTACTCGCGAGCTCGAGATACGACGCCCCCCACTACACGTGACCGCCGTCCCGCTCGTGAGCACGCCCAAGATGTAACGCCTCCCCACTACAGGCGGTCGCCGAGCGCAGCCTAAAATATCACGCCCCCCAATAAAGGTGGCCGCCACGCGTTGCCTCTCGATATACCGCCCCTATCCCCCTCTCCCCCACTACAAAGAAGGCGGCCGCGCTCCCCCCCCTCCCTTGCCCTTCGCCCCTACACTCCAACAGGACCCGAGGGACCTGAAGGGCCCAGCGAATCTATCGATATCCACCATTAGTAACGATGCACGAATCGTATTGCAGTCCTCTCTGTGAAGCGGAGAGACTATAATGTTTAAATTGTACATATTATAGAAACAAGATATTTGCTATCATTTCTGGTTATAATTTGACCGGCAGCTCGTAAATGACATGATCATATTGATATCCTATTTTTATAATGTGTATGATTATTAGTCCACTCTATAAAGCGAGTACAAAAATAACCCTTTGTAAGAATGTCCTTAATGAAAGGTGGCCTTATTATTAAAAACGATCTCTTACAGACAACCTGCAAATCAAATATTTCACGATCTGATCAATTCTGTCTGGTCACAACACCCATGAGTGTACGGCACGCATGAGAGAAACAAAGACATTCTATATAGCCGTCTTGTTTTGTCTCGTTCGCGCCGTAACGTTAGATTAATCTATGATAGATTAGTTTGCGACCCGTCTAGGCCCTCTGGCTCGATTTTGCACGTGAAATTGCAGCGAGTCCGCCCCTGAGCGCGGAGCGACCGAATGTGATAATATTTTGACCTAAGTATAAAATGTTGGAAATCTTCTGCCATGTGTGTGTTTTGTTTTTTTTTTTATAATTAAATAATCGAGAAAATTATCAAAAAAATCATATAATTATAGTTGCTCTAAAATATCGCTCTTTATTACGTCGAGGTGCTTACCCACGCGATGTGTATTCGTATGGTTTCTGTAATTTGTTACTGTATATTACATTCTGTAACGCTAATACCTTAATTAATGCTTTCTATTAATTTTTTGGTGCAGAGGACGCCTGGTGCAATCTCTTGTATGGACTGCCTCACTCATACTATTGTATATAGAGTGTTAAATATGAAATTCACTTGTATAACACCCTGTATAATATATACAAATGAATTTTGTAGCATGATTTTGTTGGCGGATGTTAAATGTTAGTGTTTGGAATTGTCCTAAGGTTCGTTGTTTCTAAAAATGGGGAAGGTAGCTAGAGAATATACTTCAATAGAGGGCGCTAGTGTGTTATAACGTAAATAAACATTTTCTGATTTTGTCTATGGTTATAAATGAGAAATAAATATGTAAAATATTGCAATGATTTAAAAGCTCAAGCCAGAAGAAAATAAATTAAACTTCATCGTAAAAATAACTATTTTATATGCATCAGTGTTAATAAAAAGTTTAAAACATTTTTTGTCAAAACGGCTGGCTGTATGCCAGCCTGGCTTCTTTACGTTATAAAACAGTGGCTTTACCTTTGCAGAGGTTTGCATAGACTTCCCTATTGGAAGAGGTTGATATGAACAGTAAAATGTATAGTTATTTTATTTTTATAGCACGCCTATAATGTTGCCAGAAACGATATTGCGTCTCATAGGACGAGATTCAGTGTTGCACTATATAATGTTGACACTAGCGTCACATGTAAACTGAGATGCAGTTAAGAATTAGGTTAGAATATTTGTATGTTAGGTTTTGTATTTAAACACGTAGCTGAATTACATCCTAGGATATTCGGCCTAATTGAATTGTAAAATATAAATTAATCAAATTTTGTCTCTAATTATTTTTAATTTGTTTAAAGGAATTAGGCGCAGGTATATTTTACTCGTGTTTGTAGATTAATTAAAAATATGCTTTATTATCAACACTTGATGGTATATTTTGGTTATATATTAATTTTCTTTGTATTGTTATTGATTTGTTATTTGTCTATTTGTATTTGTGTGAAGTATTTACGGTAATTCAATTCATGATTGTATAAAAAATCTGATATGGGCGACTATTTTTTCAATCCAAAACCTCTATTATTTGATGTCGGTTAAAAGATACAAATGTAGAGATACATGTAACTGAAATAATTATAACAATAATGGTCACCCACTTCAAACGGCCGATATTTTTTTTTTGTAAGGGAAGTTTTTTTATCTGTGGTGCCATATGACCATAGACAAGCGTGGCATTTACTTTTTTTTCGCCTGTAAATGTTTGAACCTTTTTTGAGCAGGTTTGTTATACAAGTTTTTTTTTTTTTTTGTAAAATTGACTACCGCAAATTGTCGACTGGAAAAATTAGACTAAAATTGGAAAATAATAACTGCGTCTCAGTAAATTCAGTTGGTAATTATTAAATTAGACCCAAATTAGCCGCCATGTTGACTGTTAGTGTTGATTATCTATTAATTATACAGTCGATATGGCACATTTTGCACACGCTATTTGAAAAAATTAGGCTGAACGTGTATTTTGCGTATAGATGTATTATCTACCGGTTTATAGACTTATAAGGCAATGGAAAGAGAAAAGAAAAAAGAAAATAGATACAGTAAGATCCGTTCCAAATTACAGCGTTACACAAAACAAACTTAAACGAGGAATTGTTTCTTTTCTTCGGAATCACTATCAATATTTTTGTTTTCTTGCTCAGTTAATTCCTTGAGCTCATTAGAAAGACTAGCTGCTGCTTCTTAAACTATTTCCTCGAGAGCTTCCGTTCTTTTCCGAATCCCCGGGTTGTAATAAAGGAGCGCTAAAACCGAAACGGCGTTAAGGGGGGTCTAATGTATATATACCCCTATATATGAGAGGTGAGGGTAATATCAAATTGATGGTCACGCTATGTAAAATGGACCCTGATTTCGCCAAAACATAAAGGGCGAGTCTATCCAGTGAAGATTCCCATCAAAACTCCGATATTACCCCATAATTTTATTGTCGTGAATGCTGTTTTAGACAGTTGCAGTAACCTGTATCTATCTCCCTCTACCATACACGTTGATATGCTCTATCTCTCTTCCATTGGCACAGACTAATTAGATAATACATCTATGATCTCGGTAAACTAATATTATAATGTAATGTTTGACTTTAATTGTTATGTTAGAATTTATTCACTGTAATTGTATAAAATATTACTATATTAATTGTACTAGACACAGACTAACTCTATTTTGTGACGTATTTAGGATTTTGAGATTGTAGGTATAACATACTAGTCCGTAAAATACAGCCTAACCAAGAACTTATGGCCAGATAGAGTGTAACGTAAAAATAGAATTGACGTCAATAATCTTTCGCGTTTGTCATCTCTCTCATAAACCATTTGAAACAGAAATATGGCATTTTTTTTTAATAATGCTTTATTCATGGCCATGGATACAAGTTCTTCAGTGTGCTCAGTGTTGCCAACCCCAGAATATAAGAAAACTGTATATAAGCTTGAAAGAACTGTAAATATCAAATCAAAAACAGTATATCTTTATATTATATTTTGTATAATTTAATGATAGTAATAAATAGAATACAATATAGGGAGGGTAAATAATAATAATAAAAAAAGAAATATGATATAATTATCAAAGCTTTAATAAAATTAAATGTCAAAATTCAAAGGTAATTTCCAAAATAATATACGGTTGGCAACACTGCGTGTACTTAATGTTACTTTATACTGCCCAGTGGCAACGTTGGCACTGGGAAATGAAACGTGATTTGAGGAGAATTGTGCAAATTAAACATTTATTTACAAAAGTTACATTAAAAACTGTAAGAGATAATGAAAAGGAGATGTAAATTCGACTAAGTAATTTTTTTTAATCATCACAAAATATTTATGAAATTGTAGCCTCCATGTATTCGGCGTTATTTGTTTTTTAATTAAATTTCTTGAATATGTTGTCTAATACAACGTAGTAAAGAAAATATTTTTAGGTTATGGTATTTTTTTTTTAATAATCTGTTATATGGGAGAGGGAGTGTTTACCCGCGCTTTTCATTATTATTTTTTAAAATTTTAAATATCGAATTCGGTTTCCTTACCGTTAATTAACAGCCTATTTAGTAATGAAACATCTGATACAATACGTTGATGAGTCTCCATGGATCTAGTACTATATGGCGACGAGTCTCTTTGTGATTGGATTATGGGAATGTCATTTGCTAGCCGCTCCAAGTCTCGTTTAGATAGATAGATAGACAAAACTTTTATTTGCGTTTGTAATTTATTCAATGTTTGAAGGTAAAATTGACATCAATTCTATGTTTACTGATATCTCACTTCGGTCACCGGCTTCTTGTAACAAACGGGAGCATTTATGAATTGCGTCACACGATTTCTCACTTTAGACCCCTTCCCCCCGCTTGTCACATCTAGTGTGACCCAGTGTGACACATTTTGACACCGAGTGAAATTAATAGAACAACTAGTAAAACTCGTTGACTACAAAATTTTAATCTTTAGTTTGTACAGATGGCAATATTTTTAAGTTTTTCGTTAATACTTCAAATTTCGAATTTTATATACTTGGTTATATTAGTCTTTGAAATGTGACGAAATTTGGATTCCCAGGAAATTACAGGGTAAGAGGCATCTAAGTCCACTGGAATGACAACGCGTGAGTGGTATCACAATTGTGTTAACGTGATGTCAGTCTGGTATTCATGTGTTTAGTAGCAGATATGGTTACCATTTACCATCAAGTGAAACGTCAGATTGTTTGCCATTACAATTACAAAAAATACCTTTGTCACATATTGTCAATAATCCTCGCTCCTTGTCACATAATGTCAATAATCCTCGCACCTTGTCACATAATGGCAATTCTTCTTGTCCCCTTGTCACATTTTGTCATCGTGTGACGTAATTAATAAATGCCCTTCTATTTAATAATTCAAAGTAACGTGTGCAAAACAGGTCGGCACTTGTAGCCGACGCGGTCTCCTGCCGGGCCGGGTGTGCCGCGTTTGATTTTCACAATAGATTGTACATTAAGTTTATAGATAATTTTTATTTGGGAAATTAATTTTTGGATGATTTCGAATTAAATATTTATAATGCGAAAACGACTCTATGGTTTTTATTTAAACAGATAAGTATTTTTATTTATATCTTAGTATACATATATGATTTCCTCAGTGGTCTGGTGGTTTAGCACACTGCTTCACTTCCAATTGTCGCAGGTTCGATTCCTTGCACGGTACTACATATATATTTATGAATATGTTTGTTTGTATCGGTCTGGTGCTTTCTATGTATATATATTTTTTCATAGATGATAATGGTATGCTGCACCCGCCTGCGTTAAAGGTTTACGCTGGCGGGGGTCAAGTCAGTCTGCCCATCGTGATGGCATCGCCTGGAAACCATTTAGGTTTCCAGGCGGAACCGTATGGAAGTCGCCATAACATGGTATATCATTACTAGCAATAGGGCCACTGGACTGTATTACATTATGTTATCTGTGATATTACTACTATCTCCTTATAATCTACTATCCCCTACAATTCCCTTCCTCCTCTTCTATGTATATTATGTATTTACAGAGAAAAGTATCTATGTATTATTATTTTTTATTAATGTATTTATATATTGGATCTCCTTTCTCTCTTTTTTTGAATGAAACTCAAATTAATAATTTTATTACATTTTTACTGGGCCGACGGCATGCAGCGCTATACTTAGTCAGTATAAAAGTACTACCACAGATAATATAATAGTACTACCAACCACCGACCATCACTCAAAGTTGAACCAACTTGATGTCTGATTAAATTTTTTTAATTCGCTAATGATATATTGTATATGTGGTATAAATGTATTTGTTGTTTTCTCAGATGTCTAGTACCTATAGCATAAGTTTTGCTTACCTTAAGACTAGATGGCGCTATGTGAATTGATCTGATATATTATATTATTAAATTATACATATAGTTTTTTCAATAACAAGTAGGATACATTACAAAATATTTAGATCAATACAATACAACATAAGCACATGTGTGTGCCACAGCAATACAAAATAGCTTTTAGCTCAGTGTTGAGAATCACTCAAGGAGCAAAACACTGATTATCAGCTACAACCGAAGGAATGATTTGTATATGTATTTACAACAATACTAGCTGTGCACGCGCTTTCAGCCGCGTGAAATTTATAGCCTATATGTTATTCTGATATTTAAACTGTATTTCTGTAAAGTTTCATCAAAATCCTTTCAGTAGTGTTTGCGTGAGAGTAATAAACCTCCATCCATACTCTCAAACTTTCGCGTTTATAATATTAATAAGATACACCCCAACATAGACAGTTGGCGAAGCTTCTGTCTACCCCATCTCGGATAAGAGTCGTGATGGTATGTTATTATGGACATAAACGCAGATAAATAATAATATTTTATTTACATTAAACAAGGTAGATACATAAAAAATATGTGAGGTTTCTCTTATTAACCTATAGTAAATGTCGCAGAGTAGATTTTTGTTTGGAACGAATATAATATAAATGGCGTTGTGTCATTGGAATACTTCATGTAAAATTATGTTATCTGTGCTATCTATAGTATACGTATTCTGATTAAAAAAATATTTTAAAAAGAAATTGTTCACAAATTTTTAAAAATATTGTATAAATTATATATGTGACATATATATCGGTCAGTAACATATGCACACTTCATAATGCTGGCCGTATTTTTTAAAAATTCTTACAGCCATGTAGGGTCACGGATCAAATAAATACTAGTTACATCTTTGGAATTTTGAATTGTTATCTGTGTATCCGTCACCGGAGAATCAGTCTGACACACCACAAAATATCGGCTAAATTTGAACTCACAATCTTCGGGATGTGAGTAGCAAATAATAAACCACTAGATTATGACCCTTTTAATAACTAATGTTAAGTGTATATAGTAACTATCTATTTGAAGTAATTAGATCATTTGCTCATAGCAAACTACTAACCATAGAGTATGTATAAAATATGCTTTACAGACTAATAAAGTAGTATGACTTTGTCTGCAAAAGGACGAAAACAAATAAATTAACAAATATCACTATATCTAGTACTAAAGTATACTCTACAATATATCAAATATCCTGATCCTTGACTTCTTGCAAAATTTCATCGAAAATCTTCACAAAGTTCTCTATGCCCTCAATGAAGTTGCCGTCTGGTCTCATTTCCTCCTTCTCATTGAAGAATACGTGAGCGAAATCTATTATTTTGACTATACCTAAAGGGTTAGGACCTGAGGGATCTGCCACCAAATCTTCCAGTGTAGCTCTGAAGCTCATCTTCATTTTACATATGTTTTCATCGTAGTTGTGGTCTGGAGAGTGGCTCTGGTTGACCCTGTCGTAAGCGTCCGTCCAGGTGGACTCTATGGGAGGTGGGGTGGCGAAGCTGGTCTGCGCAGAGGTCATGGGCGAGAGAGGTGGGGGCTTTAACTTTTTGAAGATAAGTCCCTTTGATGACATTAGACCGCTGAAGTTGGAGCCGGCGCTCGCTGGACTGTGGGTTGAATGGATGGATCGCCGCCGAATAAGTGCGGGATATGTTTTTTCCTTTGACCTGTATCAAACCATTTTTTTTATGTATGATAATTCAATGATACACCCACTAATGGTTTACGCTGGCGGGGCACCAGTGGAGGATGATAAGATAAGTATGAAGTCAGGTCAGTTGACCCTTCTTGGCAAATGGTCGAAAGGGTATGTTAGTAATGTAAACTGATGATCATATAGCTAGCAATGTACCATGTCAGATTGGCCTCCCCCTGGAAACCAACCTGATAAATTTCCTCAATTGTAAAATTCCTGGACTGTGGTCTGAATGGATGGATCGCCGCCGAATAAGTGCAGGATATGTTTTTTCCTATGACCTGGGTCGAACAATTTTTTTTATGATGAATGATGATGCAATGATGCCTGCGCTATCGGTTTACGCTGCCGGGGCACCAGTGGAGGAAGACTAACTGACCTGACATCATCAGGTCAGTTAGCTCATCATGACAAATTCACCATGAATTTATCATGATGATTTCCAGGGGAAACCGCATGGAGGTCAACCTGACATGACACATTGCAAGTAATGGGGTTATTAGTACAGATTACTAACAGTTCCCTTCCCCCACTTTCGTTCCCCTGAGATACAACATAATGTGCTACCTTACTGTAATTATAGATGTGTTGCTTAATATTTTGTATATGTTTTTTCTGGTGAATTTATCACGATGGGCTAATTGTCCTGACTTCCTGACTGGTGCCCCGCCAGCGCAACTTGTTCTTTTATAAATGATAATGGAAAGGTAGACCTGTCTGCGGTTCACCGTCCCATTATCATTCAGAAACAAAACTATGTAATGATAGTACGGTTATTAAACACTCACTCACTAGACTATGTAAAGTCATTTATTTATAATGACAGTGCGTCACTAGCGTGATAAACTGATAAAGTAATCTAAATACAATAATAGATATTATAACAGAATAATGCAGGAATCATTGCACGATCATTTGAACCTTTTTGACGGCCTCTGTGTTCTAGCGATTTAGCGCCATCTTAGTTCCCGTGATCGCGGGTTCGATTCCTCGCATGGTAAAAACATTAATTGTATATATTTGTCTGGGAGGTCATATTTACAAAAAAGAATATTCTAGAATATGTAATTATGATACAAGTGTCAATCTACCATCCCAGGTTGATCATCATAAATGACCATTTGCCAAGATGGGTCAACTGATCTGACCTCGTGCTCATCTAACATCCTCCACTAGTGCTCCGCCAGCGTAAACAGTTAGCGCAGGCGGGTGCACCATACCATTATCATCCATAGGACTGTATCTCAGGTGTTTTTACCTTCTTCGTACCTTCGCAGGGTGAATTATTTTGCAGTTACTAACATTTGTGTTACATAAAGAACAAAAAACAATTATGAAATGATGATAACATACCTGGGGTGTGGTGCTGGTGGTGAGGCCACCCTCAGCCGTGCGGCGTCGTAAACCAGCAGCAGTGAGGCCGCGTACAGCCTGACGGAGCGTTGTCTCCGCGCCCACTGCTGCAGCCGCCACAGCTCCCCCGCCAGCCGCACCACCAGCGCCCGCGCCGGGCCCCCGCGCTCGCTGTTCAGGTACCTTCGGATAGCTGCAACAACAATACGACTAGCTAAAACCTGGTGATATCGTCTTCTGGAATACAACTTGCCTTCATCAAGGCTTCACTAATTTTCGCCACTGCCTGAATCGACAAAGTTTCGAACGGCCAGCCTAAATCAGTTTTTTTTTATTGATGATAATGAGATGGTGCACCCGCCTGCGCTTACGGTTTACGCTGGCGGGGTACCAGTGGAGGATGATCAGATGAACATGAGGTCAGGTCAGTCAGCCCATCGTGACATATTTACCAGAAATTTATCACGATGGTTTCCAGGAGAACCGCGTGGAGGTCAACCTGACATGGTACATTGCTAGTAATGGGGTCATGAGTCCATATTACTAACAATCCCCTTTCCCCCAGCCTAAATCAGTTACCTTGACAGCACTAAACGGGTGAACAGATTTTAATGAGATTTGAAACGAAAATAGATTGCTTCACAAACATGTGCATGGACTATATTTTTTATCTAGTAGGGGAGAAATAGTAATAATAATACTCTTGGACAGTTCACACAGCGCCATCTAGTCCCAAGCTAAGCAAAGCTTATGTTATGGGTACTAGACAACAGATATAAATACTTAGATACATTTTTAAAAATACATAGAAAACCAATACCATACCAATACATAAACCCTCTAAACGATACCCCGTCCAATTCAAAAGGGGATCGAAATTATGACGGCCGGACCTGAGGTTCAAATCCCTAGCGGTGCCCTCAGACTAATGTCGTATCAGTCAAGTGGGAGTTAACCTTTCAGCCGCTCCATAAGCCCTTCCCTTAGTTTGGAGTGTCATCTGCCCTCGCCCCTATCGTCCGGTGAAGCTGTAAAGGCTAGCTACGGCCAACAGCATTAGAGTAGTTAAAAAAAAAGTAATTACGCAATTATTACCACTTACTATCATGTTGATCATCACTTTGTCATGCAAGTCATTACATAGTATAAAACAAAATCGCGGTGTCTGTCCGTATGTTTAAATCTTTAAAATTACGCAATGGATTTTGAAGCGGTCTTTTTTAATAGATAGAATAGAATAGAAAATCATTTATTCAAATAAACTTACATTGAAGCACTTTTGAATAGTCATAACATTTTTTTTTTTTTTTAATCTACCGCTCATTCGGAATGCTGTCTCATCACAAGAAGAACAAGCAAGAAACTTGTGTGTTGCTCTTTTAAATAATTTATTCTTACTTACAATTTAAGTTTAAGTGTGAATACAAACCACCAATTAGCACTAATTCAATTAAATACTCAAAAAGAAAAAAATATTGAATACATAACCAACTGGTTAAACAATTAATAAGAGGAAATCAGTCATAGTGATTAGAGCAGACCAGTCCCTACAAGCAGCACCCGTTCACGAGTATGACGGATGAGCCAGCCATCACTGCGCTCGACCATATTTTAGGGAGCCCAATGACCCGGCCCACGACGCCGCCACAAGCCTGGACATTTTAGTGAGCATGACTACTCAAAACACCAGACCACGTCATAGCTACTCACAATTGCCATCTGATGTTTATAGTATTCACATTTCACATAAGAATGCATGCGGCAATTAATACAAAACCCGCTACGCTTTCATATTTCTAAAATAATTGAATCAAGAAAGCAATGAGATAAACAAATTATAACGTTGTATGCTAATAAACTAATTATTTACTTGATATGTTGTCTTCTATGAATTCGTCTATCCTGTAATAGGCTTTCTTACATAAAAATTGTTTAATATAAGATTTGAATTGCCTCTCTGTCAGATTTAGTGCAGATTCTGGCAGTTTATTATAAAATCTTACGCAATTACCATAGAATGAATTACTGACTTTGTGCAGGCGGCATTTAGGTAAAATTAGCTTATTTTTATTGCGTAAGTTTCTATTTGTACAGTCTTTAAGTTTTCTAATAGAGTGTTCTTGAGGAAGGTTTATATGTATAATATATGTACACCCGGGCGAGCTAACTAGTAACTAGTTACACACAAAAATTCTGCATAATGACTAAATCCCTTCCTTATTCAAGTCGGTAAATTTCTATATAACTCACCATCTATCACCTTATCACCGTGCAGCCTCTTCCCGAAATTCTTGTCATACTTCTGCAGCTTCCCTGAGGACAGACTGTACACCTGAAACCCTGGTATGCAGAACGCGAACTGCTCTTTACACCGAGCGTACTTCTCCTTCTCTCTTGCTATCTTCTCTTTTGTGGCCAGCGGATCCCATGTTCGTCTACCTTGAATAAATAAGAAGGTATTATTTTCCTGCATATGGGAGTTACAGATTTTTAATGTAACTTGAATGTCAAACAAACTTACGGCTAAAAGTGAAATATATATATACTAGTATGTATATACTATATAATACTAGCTGATCCCACAAATGCAGATTTTCCGTATAAATTAAAATCGCTATTAACAAATAAGGGTTGGTGATAGAAGGGTGAAAATTTAGGGTTGTATATATTTTTAATGCCACATTATATAAAAATAAAATTTTGTCCAAGTAATAAAAAAAAATGTTAGGTTGGACAACTCTATGAACATGAAAAATAGATTGTAGCCGATTTTCAGACCTACTGAATATGCATATAAAATTTCAATTGGTCAAACCGTTTCGGAGGAGTATGGTAACTAACATTCTGACACGAAAATTTTATATATAAGATGATATTATATATATATTTGTGTAGATTATGAAATTCCAGAAATTTTAATTACCGTTTAGCACATCCCCTTACTTTCGATGGTTGTGGGTTCGATTCCTCGTAGAAAACAAACATTTGTATTCATGATTCATACCCCAACTCATAAGAGAAACTTCCTTGGGACTAGATGGCGCTGTGTGACTTATCCTGGATTACTATTATTATTATTATATACTTGGTACACAATAATGAGAAAATTCCTGATATTCAAACCTACCTATTTTAACGTCCATAATGCATGGCTCCAGCATCTTCTTCGTGAGGTCTTCTAATATTATATACTCTTGCTCGTGCCCATTATAAGTGACCTTCTTGCAGCCGTAGTACCTCGGCACGAAGTTCCTCATTTCCACCAGATCAGGATCCGTGGAGGTAGCCAGCCGCTCATAGAACTCCACCTCTCGCCTTTGAGCTTCCTTGAGGATCGGCTTCAGAATTGTGCCGTCGTTACATTGAAGGAGACCTGGAAAAAATTTCATACCTAATTATGAAAAGGCTGTCCTTACATTAATTAAAGATGGTAGAGGAAATTTGACAATAATAATAGTAATAATATAGTAATAATCTCAGGACAATTCACACAGCGCCATCTAGACCCAAGTTAAGGTAGCTAAAGCTTGTGTTATGGGTACTAGACAACGGATACATATACATAGATATATTTTTTTTTAAATACATACATATTATACATAGAAAACACTCAGACCGATACAAACAATCGTACTCGTGAATACAAATGTTTGTGCCGTCCGATATATCGGTCGTTTTCCTTGACCACTAGACCACCAAGGTCATCAATAGACTATGTATATGTTATTTCGCTAACTGTGGGCCTCTTGAACAAGCTCAGAGTCACTTAGAGGGCTATGCTCGGAATTTCAAGGTAAGCAGAGCTTGTGTTATGGGTACTAGATAACTGATACATATACATAGATATTATACATGTAGAACACCCAAACCGATACAAACAATCATACTCGTGAATACAAATGTTTGCAAATGTGCCGCGCGAGGAATCGGTTTTCATGCAGGAAAGAATGAGCATGTACATGTTGCTCGCGCATTCTCGCCTCCTTCAATCGTGCGAGCTTCAGCGCGTATTGCTAACAATTATGTGTATATATACATATATATATTTAGCGTCTTTATTGTTACCGCTATTATTTGTGTTTATGTTGTGTTCTTGTAGCAGCAGCGGGAAAGAAGGAGGTGAAATGATGAGTCCAGATTGTTGTTATGTACATATTTATAATTACGAAATATTTACAATGAATATATAGGTATGTACAAGAAAGTGATTCGGTCTCGAATACAAGCTTGTTATTCTATTCGTCTGTCGTAACTAGGCAACGGTGTTGCCGCGCGATAGTAGTTAATTCGCCACATATATATATATATATTGCGTAATAGTTTAATTGCATTTTGCAATAGTTTAAACATCTAATACTTAAACATCTGACGTTAGAGCAAAGACAATTATATTTATTGATAATTTATAAATCTTGAACGTGTCTTTGGAATTGTGGTATAGTGATGCAAATCAGCACGTTCAGTAAAAGATTGTGCGAGTGTACGTTTTGTATAACAACACGTAGGTCACGCAGTACCTCATATATATAGTTTATGTAATTAGTGTAAGCTAGAGTAATTCAAGATGTAACAGTTAATATACAAGTTACACCCTACTGTGTGTGTTTACTCTCACCACCGCTCCTGTCATCACAGAATATAAAATCTAGATTAAAAAAAAAATTAAAGTGAAATGACATGAAACATACACGCAAATTTGTTATCTATATTCAGTAAAGAGTTAATGATATTATTAACCTAATTATTAGTTTTATGGCAAATAAAAGTATTTACCTCTCTCGACGTTTCGTCTAGGTTGCACTAGTCGTGGTGACGAGCTCAAAAAGGGAAGGAAAATGAATAAAGAGTTATTATTATTATTAATGACGTTCGAAGTGGTCTACGACCGGTCCGACCGATGGTCGCGGGTTCGATTCTTTCCTCGACACAAACATTTGTCTTGTATGACTGTGTTAGGGTTCACATCGATATTGTCGAAAAATCTGATATTTTATATTAAAAGAAGGTAGTTTCATTATTACTCGGTATCGTTAAACTAGTTGCATATAACCCCCACTCATATCTTCTCTGTATAAAAGGGAGGGTTTTTGTAAGCCGCGGCAGGTTTCCGCTGACCGACGCGCTAGCGAACGCACGTATGTGCTCGCTAGTCCCGCCGCCGTCTCGCTGTTCTCTGCTCCCTCGAGCAAACCACCGCGCGCGCGCACGTAGCGCAGTTACGTTCGCGCGTTCTTATTCATATACTTCGCCGCGTGTTAGGTGCACTCGGTGCACCTAACGTGGCCCGGGGCCTCCGTGTCCCGCGCCGACCGCGGCCGACCGCGCTCTCGGCATCCGTTCCGACACAGTGCTACCGGACTTTCCGCGTGTGTAGTGTTGTGTTGTGAGGACTGAAGGAGAAACTCTCTTCGTTCAAGTGAAGTGAAGTGTTGTGTGTGGACGTTCAGTGGCACGGACTGTCGTGAGTTAGGGAGGTGCGTCACGCCTATTGCGCGACGCGCCGATCCGAGCTTGCCGCTGCCACCAACACCCGCCGACGCCTGCTGCCTGCCGCCCGCCGCCGACGCCACCAAGTAGGTTCGCTTAAATACACATTTTTTTTGTACTCAATAAGATTAGTGATCTTACATATTAGGGTCACATATCAATAGGCATCACCCCCTTATATATAGACGACCGTCCTTATCTTAAGTACTGACTTACCCTATTGTTTCATTGTATTGTATTGTTATTGTGTTGTATTGTTATTGTATTGTTTTATATTACTATTTCTACTCTTATTCTATTCTTTTGAACAATCACTGTTCAAAAAAAATGTCCTTATCAGAGGCCGATATGCCTCTGTTCTTCCAGTTCCTGGAAAAAAAAGTGTCCATCTTAAATGCTTTTATGTTTACAAAATGATGACTCGCGCGACGAACCGAACACTGACACTGACGAATTCGAGGACGACTCGCAACGGCTCCCGCCGCTTCCCCCGACCCAAGCCGACCAGGCCGAACCCGCCTCGCCCGCCATGGAGCAGGACGACTCCGTCGCGGAGCTTGACGCTCCGAGTATGGAGCTCGACGCCATCCGCGACGGCGACGTCCCCTCTCCCATCCCCCCGGTCTCCTCAGACGAGGACGATTTTATTCTTGTTGGCAACAAGCGTGCCAAGAAGACCCAGCGCCAGCCAAAACAAAGCGTGCCCATGACGGCACCGCTAAAACCGCCCCCGGTCCGAACAGACCAAAGCCCCGCCCCCCGTCATCATCCAGGACAAAAGTGCCTGGAACACCGTATATATAAAAACATATATATATTTCAAAGTATCAGTCCCATCATCTACCATCGTCGTCTCACCACCTTCCTGCGGGAGAAAACATATTATCACACCTATAAGAGAAAAAGTTGTAATACGTTTACCCAAGTGTCAACAGACTCCATCCTTGAGGACCTTCAGTCCCAGAATTACCCAGCGCACGAGGTACATCGTATGTACCAGTCGCGCTCACGCAACAAGGCCGCGATCGACCTTGTTCTAGTCGTATTAGATTTATCCCCAGAAGGCAAATCGATCTTTGATATAAAGAGCGTTTGCCAACTATCCTCGCTCTCCGTAGAGGCATACAATGCCACCGTTATAATTACGAAACGGTGCGTCATTTCACGCCACCGCAGATTGCGGCCGTAAACACCCCCACGCCCCCCAGTTGCAATATATAGGTATTGTTCACGCGCCCCGCGTCCCGCCAAAAAGAAGGCCACCCACACCCAACCGTGCTCCGGCACGTGCCCCCGCCAATGACAGCCTGCTAACAATGCCTGGATTAAACCCCCGGCAATTCAAGGTATCGGCCCCGCCCGCCCAGTCGGCCCCGCCCGCCCAGTCGTGCCCATACACAAACCCGTCCCCAAAACACTGCCCGCGGCCCCCAAGGCCAACGGCAGCTCCCTCGCGCAGGACTTCGCATTGGTCGCTCGCTTAGCCAGCACCATCGACCCTAACGAGATTGCCCTTCTGGACTCCAAGCTCCGCCTGTATAAGGAGTCGCCCCAAAATAGGCTCGCAGCCGTCTGCGAATTACTTACCGCCATCCTCATATATATATATATAGAGAAAAGCCTCGGTCCGTAATAGCGTTTTTTAACGCGTTCGGATTAAAAAAACAAAAGGAGGAAATCGCCTCCTTTCTCACTGACCACCAAGTCGATATTCTCCTTTAAACATCCGCGATAATAATTACAACTTAGTTAAACATCTGTACGGCGGTTACTATAAACGGTCCCTACATTGTATACCGCTACAAACACCGCCTATATTTAGGCCTCCGATAATTTATACCGAATCCGTATATCAGCCTGAACGTGCGCCCTCTTATCAACAGCGCCACCATTCTGGCTGGCGATTTGAATAAACACACCCGCTGGAACTGCCACGTGTCCACGACAAACGGCCACAAACTCAGACTAGCCGACGTTCGAGATAATCGCCCCGCTCCGCCCTACTCATTATCCCCATAACGTGAACCACCGACCCGACATACTGGACATGGCACTAACAACACGTGAGCTCCCCAGAAGTCCATGCCGAGCTACCGGTAATCCTTCTGGGCCCTCCGCCCGACACGCCACTACCAACCAAAACAATAACAGACTGGCAACGACTCGAGAAATCTCTCGAATCGACCGACACACCGATACTAAACCGTATTCCCGACGTCATAGAGTCCACCGAGGACACTCTCATTGCGATCGACTCGCTTACTAACCACCTGCAGTCGGCAGTCAAGGACTCCAACCAGCGACGGACGACCGTCGCTGGCAGCTTCCCGATGACGTAAGGAGGTTAATAAGCGATAAGAACGCAGCCACTAGAGCGTACGATCGCTACCCCTCCGAACCGAACCGGGTGCGCCTGCGAGCCTTACAGTAGTGTTAAGGAGCGCATCGCGCAGATCCGGGACGGCCGGTGGGGTGCTCCTAGAAGAGATAACGCCATGCCACACCGCGTACTGGCGCATAGCGAAATCTCTCAAAACCGACCAACAGACAAACGACATGCCCCCGCTAGTCCGACCCGACAACACTATAGCCTTCTTCGACGAAGACAAGGCTGAGTGTCCAGCGTCCAACTTAGAAGCCCAATGCTCCCCCAGCACGCTCCCAGTCGAGGCAGGTCATCTCGAGAAGATAGACACCGAAGTCGAACGCATCGCGTCCACCCCGCCCACCGAATCCCTCTCACCAGTCACGCTTGATGAGGTCAAAACGCTAGTTAAACAACTACCTATCAAAAAATCACCCGGCTCAGACGGCATATCGAATAGATTAGTCAAAAGTCTGCCATCCCAACTTTTGTTATTACTCGTCGCTATTTTTAACGCGGCGCTGTCCAACGCTATATTTCCAGACAGCTGGAAAGAAGCCGTGGTCATTGGCATCCCCAAGCCCGGTAAAAATAAATCCGACCCGTCCAGTTATCGTCCTATCAGCCTCCTCAAGGCTATAGGCAAGCTGTACGAGCGAATCCTCCTCGCCCGCCTAAAGGAGTTTATATACTCCAAAGGCCTGCTCATCAATGAGCAGTTTGGCTTCCGAGCCAAACACTCATGCGTCCATCAAGTGCACCGCATCACGGAGCACATTCACAAAAACACTCTGTACTTCGCCACCAAGTCCCCCAAAGGCGGTACAGGCGTCCTATTTTTCGATGTGGCTAAGGCTTTCGATAAAGTCTGGCACAACGGCTTGATTTACAAGCTTCATCAGTTAGGTGTCCCCGACAGGCTAGTACTCATTGTACGAGATTTCCTGTCGAATCGCTCTTATCGCTACCGTATAAACGGAGCGTTATCCGACCCGCACCCCATACGAGCCGGCGTCCCTCAGGGCGCCGTCCTCTCTCCGATGCTCTACTCGTTGTACACCAACGACATCCCCAAATTCTCCGACTTAAAAGTCGAAATATCGCTGTTTGCCGATGACACGGCTCTCTTTACATCCGCCAAGTCCCGTGCGACAATAGCCAGACGGCTTCAGAAAGCCGTAACGATACTGGGCGAATGGTTCCGTCGGTGGCGCATAGAAGTCAATCCCGAAAAAAGTGCAGCAGTGTACTTTAGCAGGGAATTTGACTCTATGAATCACCCGATCGAACTATTCGGCCAAAACATCCCGTGGGTTTCGAAAACGAAATATCTCGGCGTCACCCTAGATAGGAAACTAACGTTTCGTCCTCACATCAAGCGTGTCCGCGACCGAGCCGCCTTTATACTAGGGCGACTCTATCCTTTTATTAACAAGCACAGTAAAATGTCGCTTCGCAACAAGCTGACATTATACAAGGCTTGCATCCGTCCCATCATGACCTACGCTAGTCCCGTATTCGCCCACATACCCTACTGCTTAATCAACAGACTGCAGGTCATTCAGAATAGGTTTCTGCGTCGAGCCACCGGTGCGCCGTGGTTCGTTCGCAGCGTAGATCTCCACCGCGATCTTAATCTGCCCTCCATCAAGCAGTTTATGAAGGAAGCGTCTCGACGCTACTTCGACTCTGCCCAATCCCACCCTAATCCGCTTATAGTCAGTGCGGTCGACTACGCACCGAGGAGTAATATCCGACATACGCGACAACGTCGCCCGAGGCACGTTCTCATTGACCCCGACGACCCCATAACGGCAGGTAACCTCCCCACGGGCCCACCCGTTCCACCCCGACCACACTTTTACACACACACACGACACCGTCCTCGCCGGCGAAGACGACGACCTCAAACACACAATATCGCGCATTCAACCGGGCGCCTGCGCGCGCCCGGGCGCTCCACACCGCGCCCCCGGGCGCCCCTCCGATCGATCCCCCGTCCAATTCAAACGGGGATCGAAATTACGACGGCCTGAGCCGAGGTTCGAACCCCTAGTGGTGCCCTCAGACTAAAGTCGTATCCGTCGGGCAGGAGTTGGCCTTCAGCCGCTCCATAAGTCCTTCCGCGGGTTTGGAGTGCCATCTGCACTCGCCCCATAACGTCCGGTGAAGCTGTATAGGCCAGCTATGGCCAACAGCATTAGTGTAGTCCGAAAAAAAAAAAAAAAAAAAAGCCGCGGCATTCGGTCTTTGAGCACAGGATGTGCTGGTTGTATTTTAATTGCTAAAATGAATTGTGTTAGAGACATAGTTAAATTAATGTTATATAGTTGTTATTTTATTATAATACATACTTTTACTAGTACATAGAGTTGATATATCTAACAACTGTATACGTATATACCTAAACATATTGTATGGGCAGCGCGTATGCGAAGTTACGCTCACAACTGAAATATGTCATTCTGTTTGTCTCCTAGAAAATTAAATTAGATAAAACGTTTATTTAAATACACATAAATCTAATCCAGATAAAGCCCATCTCAACAACTGTATCGGTCTGGGTGGCTTCTATATACAATATGTAAGTATTTACTAAAAAAAAATATGTATATGTATCAGTTATCTAGTACCCATAACACAAGCTTTAGCTAGCTCAACTTGGGTCTAGATGGCGCTGTGTTAATTGTCCAGGGTTATTTATTATTATTCCCTCACCTGAAAATTTTGTATCTGTAGTGGAGGCATGTCCAGCCACCTGTCGATTATACGCTCGTATGTCACGATCTGGCGGTGGCATTTTGAATGGCCGCGTCACTACCTCTTCACGCTTCTCGATGTGGTAGTGCACTCCGTGAATGGAGCGCTGTCTCTGAAGTTTGACGCGTGGCCTGTTGTTGTCATTGCTCATTTAGTTGGCGACCTAATGGCAAAATAATGGATCATTGATTAAACAGCTTTTTTTTTTAATTTTTTTACGGCCTCGGCTGTTTTTGCACAATGAACTGTGGTGTGACAAGAATGGATAAGATAAAGAATGAATACATTAGAAGAAGTATGAAAGTGGCGTGTCAGAGAGGTTGAAGAGTAATTGTCTATCGTGGTATGGACATGTAATGCGTAGAAATGAGGATAATATTTTAAGAAAGGTGTTACATATGAATTTGGATGGTTATAAGGGCAGAGGAAGGCCGAAAAAGAGATGGATGAACTGTGTGAAAGATGATATGGTAAGAAAGGAAGTAAATAACGCGATGACTGCGAACAGGGATGAATGGAAGCGAAAAACATATTACGACGATCACTAATAAATGGGATAAGGAAGAAACAGATGATGATGATGATGATGGCTGTTTTTGCACAACGCCTTAATTAGGGGAGCTTGGCTGGCTACGCTAGTAGTCTCGACTCTACACGCACAACGGCCTAGAAGAGAGGCTGATTGCGGAAAATAGAGTCCAATTTACATTACATTACATTACATTACAACGCCTTTAAACAAATCAAAAAATGTTTATTCATGTAGGACATTTTAACCACTTAAAAACGTTATTTGTATCAATATTTTTTCCCTACCTTACTATGTAGTTGGTTGCTGGTTCGATCCTCGCATGGTGCAAACATTTGTATTCATGAGTATAATTGCTTGTATTGTTGTGTATTTTATACAAAAATATAGTTATACAATAAGCTAAGGAGAGTGTTATGTGTAATAAAGAGAACTGATCCAGCACCCATAACTCAAGCTCTGCTTAGTTTGGGACTAGATGGCGCTGTGTGAATTATCCAGGGTTATTATGTAGGTGATAGACAAGATGTCATACAATTATTTTATATTCATTACATAGTACAAAATAAAGTCGCCATCGCTGTCTCTCCGTCCCTATGTATGCTTAAATATTTAAAACTACGCAACGAATTTTGAAGCGGTTTTTTTTAATAGATAGAGTGATTCTAGAGTAAGGTTTATATGTATAATACATGTACACCCGGGCGAAGCCGGGGCGAGTAGCTGGTTATGGTATAATTGGAATGGCAAACAACCTGATGGTAAGTGGTAACGGTTGTTTATATATGTACAGAAACAGCACCAAGGCATATCGTCGTCAAGGAATATACGTGATATCCCTAATGCTAGCATTTCGGATGAATAAGGCGTCATGTGTCCATACATTTTAATTACACGCTCCCAAAACAGTATATAACACAATGCTTGGCTAAAATAGATGTGAAAGATGTGCCCACGCAGATAATTATGTACAAACTCCAGTTCATAAAAACTCTTCAGTAAAATCTCTGTACAAGTCAAGTCGTTTAAAATCAATTTAATCTCTTTATGTATAGATTTCTTTATTTTTTTAATTAAAAAAAAACATAAATTCCTATTTAATTAATTAAAAAAAACATAATTAACCTACTGTCGACACCTACTCGTATCGGTAATTGGTTTTTGATATTTATTTATATTTATTGAACAAAGCCTATTAAATAATTACTTAACTGACAAACGAGCATGGCAAAAATTGTTCACTCTCGGCATTTCTATTTAATGTCAGACATAGACACGTATAACTTTTCACTAAAATCTCTGTCCAAGTCAAGTCGTTTAAAATCAATTTAATCTCTTTATGTATAAATTTCTTTATCTTTTTAAATAAAAAAAAACATAATTTCCTATTTAATTAATTAAAAAAAAACATAATTTACCTATCCATTTAATAAAAAAACATAATTAACCTACTGTCGACACCTACTCGTATCGGTAATTGGTTTTTGATATTTAATCATATTTATTGAACAAAGCCTATTAAATAATTACTTCACTGACAAACGAACAAAAATTGTTCCTATTAAATAACATAGACACGTATAACTTTTCACTAAAATCTCTGTCCAAGTCAAGTCGTTTAAAATCAATTTAATTTCTTTATTTAGATGTCGACACCTACTCGTTTCGGTAATTGGTTTTCGATATTTAATCATATTTATTGAACAAAGCCTATTAAATAATTACTTCACTCACGGCATTTCTATTTAATGTCAGACATAGACACGTATAAGAGTAAACGATATAGATAAACTGGCATTTAAAAAATATGAGTCGAGTTTCTTGTCAGTTCTTGCCAGAATTTGTATACTGTACTGGACGGTAGGGAAAAAATATTAATTACAAAAATTTAACGTTCATAAGCGCCTAAAATGTCCTACAGGAATAAACTTTTTGTTTTTTGTTTTAATTCGAAATTCTTTTCTATTATTCTTTTTTCGGTTTTTTTTTTGGTAGCGGGTGCACTAAGACGGGTAGCTTAAACAGTCATATGATACCAATCATGTTCTGATTCATTTCATATAAACCGACCAATAAAAAAATACTTATCTTTTGTAATAACGCCTTCAGTTCTACTTCGATTAGTTGGGTATGCGACATTAATCATAATTTTTATATAGACTGGTTATTATATTTTAATATATTTTTTTATTATATTATAATATCTTACAAGGATTATTTAAAAGAGCAACACACAAGTTTCTTGCTCGTTCTTCTTGTGATGAGACAACTTTCCGAACGAACGGTACATAAAAAAAAATGTTATGACTATTCAAGTGCTTAAATTAAGTTTATTTGAATAAATGATTTTCTATTCTATTGTAATGGTTATTGTAACCAAATTATATTATTTTTGCGTAGTATGTGTTACTTACCACAGAAAATAATATTAATTATATTATCTGTGGCACAGATAACGAAATGGGTGTGTTCATATAGCATTTATTAGTAGTAAATGTTGTTATTATATACTGTTGTAGCAGTTTGAAATAACAACATATTAATTAAGTACTACAACTTTTATCACTAAGATATCATTTGCTAGTTATATCGTAATATTATAAATGCAAAAGTGTGTTTGTTTATATATACTTCCACAACAAATTATGATCTAAATATACGTGGGGAGATAGTATGGCAAACGGGTGCACCATTTCATAAAAAAATAAGATGGATAAAGACGAATGTCCTATCAGTCGCCTGTCAGACCAAATCGCGGAAGGAGGCTAAGGCAATCAACATTAGATGCCATCTAATTTAATTTACCTTACAAATAATGAATAAATTTTAGAAATAGCACCAATGTTTCAAGATTTCCTTCCAAATACACATATATCACAAAATTAGCACTCTTTTTTAAATATGGCGGGAAAATGTAGAACACGAAATAGCAACCAAAGAACAAAACACGATCCACAAAGTTATATTTCTACGTTTTTGTAAATACCTTTGCAACGGTTGAGGAAATATATAATCAACTAGTGGCCAGCTGTTTAAAAACAATATACTAAAAAACAGCGTGACTTTGGTGGACATTCAAAGAATTTATCTAATCGAATACGTCAAGATTGACTAAAATTTATCGATCATTTCTATTATTCGCGAAAGATAAAACATATGAGTGTGCACGGGTAGGTATGTATAGATAAATATAGATATTATATTGAACATTTCCTGGATCCATTCAATTATATCCACTATCAATAGCAATAAAATTACAAAGTTACTCTTAAGGTTATGAAGTAATCGACATGAGTTTTGCAGGGTAGTGATATGGCTATTTTAATCACGAATTTGCTTTCTATGTCTATATGTTGGTATTAAATATTTATAGTATAAACAAAATCGCTCCCTCTTTCTGTATGTTTAGATCGTTTAGACTATGCAATGGATTTTAATCCAGTTTGTTGATCCAAGGTTTGTTTTTTTTTCGGACTACTCTAATGCTGTTGGCCGCAGCTGGCCTTTACATCTTCACCGAACGATAGGGGGCTAGTGCAGATGGCACTGCAAACCCGCGGAAGGATTTATGGAGGTTGACGGCCAGCTCCCGCCTTATGGGTATCCATAAGGCGGGAGTTCCTAGATTCCGAGTATCCGAGGAAGGGAAGAGAACAGAAACAACCGCAAGGGAATAGAACCTCGGGTCAGGCCGTTGTAATTTCGATTTCCATTTGAATTGGACGAGGGATCAATCGCAGGCGTCAAGGTTTGTGTGTATAATACACGTACACCAGTGCAAAACCGGGGCGGGCAGCAGTCATAAATAAAAAAAAACAGTATTGCATATTCAAATTTATTGATTTGATAAAAACTCAGATCTCAGGAATAACAAAATTTGCCGATTCTTGATTATTTATTTATTATATTTATAAAACCCTTCTCCAGTTTTCCGTCCGTATTTACCCTCGCTAACCAACTGATTCAAAAGTGGTATTGGTTTAAATACGGGATGCCCAGTTTTTTCTAGCATGACTTCTAAAATAGCCTTTTTAAGGTCCAGTCCAGTGAAATCAGCCAATTCCAACGGTCCCATTGGTAGCCCCGCGCCGAGTTTCATACCCACATCTATGTCTTGCGCAGACGCATCTCCTGTAAAAAATATTATAAATACATATATATTTTTATATGTTTTAGCCCCTTCCGATCAATCCCCCGTCGAATTGAAATGGGGATCGATATTACGACGGCCTGAGCCGAGGTTCGAACCCGTAGTGCTGCCCTCAGACTAAAGTCGTATCCGTCAGTTGGCCTTCAGCCGCTCCATAAGTCCTTTCGCGGGTTTGGAGTGCCATTTGCACTCGCCCCCTATCGTCCGGTGAAGCTGTAAAGGCCAGCTGCGGCCAACAGCATTAGAGTAGTCCGAAAAAAAAAAAACATATTTTAGCCGACCAGTCGTCATTGCCCGCAATAATAATTACTATTATTATTCCGTAATGTATAAATTTAAAAAAACATATGTTTACTTAGCTTTTGATCTTTGAACTTAGAATTTGATCCCTCATTTAGATTATAATATAAAAAAAATTACGTTCATAGGTGGCTAAAATGTCCTACATGAATAAATGATTTTTGAATATTGAATTTTTATCCCCAGGGCTAATATTCCGTGTTTTTAAACAAACTGATTAAAAACACGGAATATAAAGTGTTGCGTTCTTTTGTCTCGTTCGTTCCCATAGGAATTTGAAAAAAAAATCCAATAGAAAATAGGATATTGTCTCCGCTCCTGGTGAATAGATTTTGATATAAGTTTACAGTAATATAGTTATTGTTATTAGTGTATGTATACATCAGAATAACACATAGACTATCATTTTTTTGCAGGTGAAGCCAAAGGCACAGTTAGTCTACTATAAAATTCTCGTGTCAGTGATAAGTTGGCATACTTCTCCGAAACGGTTTAAGCGATTTTTATGATATTTCACATGTATACTCAGTGATTCTGAGAGTAGATTTTTACCTATTTTTCGACTCCAAAGTCCACCAAAATTTATTTTTTAATTTTTGGGACAAAACCTAAATGATAAGGTTGTGCAACGCCATTTTTTTTTACATTTATTAAGGTCCAAGATGCTGACGTTTATACCGAAGCCTTGCCTTCCATAATTACTAAAATAAGAATATATTTATCATCGTATAATTTTAAGTAGTATAAATAGTTTTAAAATATAAACGTGTTGGCAATTAGCTGTAAGTTTATATTGTGTTAATTAAATAAAATAAAAATAAAAAGATGTGCAGTATAATATATTCCTAATATATATGTATTTATATATACATATTCCTAAAATATATGTATTTATTAATACATATATTTTAGGAATATATTATACTACTCACTTTTCTACCACCAACTCTATAGTATATAGCGCTTTTAGTATTCAAATTAAAAGACAAAACAACGTTAGCTGTGTCATCCAGTAACATATAAGACATGGCGCCCTCATAAAGCATATATAGATAATCAAAGACATATTATAATAATGAGTAATAAATGTAGTCAGTGATAACATTATCAAATTATAGCCAACCAGTCTTTATCTCGCGACTTCTTCGGAACTTAAGTATTATTTTAAACTCTATGTTTATACTATAACTAGCTGACCCGCAAACGTTGTTTTGCCATACAAATTAAAATCGCTATTAAAAAATAGGGGTCAATGGTACAAGAGTGAACATTTAGGTTTGTATATATTTTTAGAACAACATTATAAAAAAAATGTCCAAAAAATAAAAATAAATGTTAAGATTGGACAACTCTTATCAATTAGAAGTATGAAAAATAGATAGTAGCCGATTTTCATCATCATCATCATCACAGCCCGGAAGACGTCCACTGCTAAACATAGGCCTCCCTAAAGATCTCCACGACGATCGGTCCTGCGTTGCTCGCATCCAATGCCTTCCAGCGATCTTGACCAGATCGTCGGTCCACCTTGCTGGAGGCCTTCCCACGCTGCGTCTTCCGGTCCGTGGTCGCCACTCGAGGACTTTATTGCCCCAACGGCCACCTGTCCTACGAGCTATGTGCCCTGCCCATTGCCACTTCAGTGTCGCAATTCTTCGGGCTATGTCGGTCACTCTGGTTCTTCTGCGGATCTCCTCATTTCTGATTCGATTACGCAGAGAAACTCCGAGTATAGCCCTCTGAGTGACTCATCACTGGCAACACACATTGGTCGTAAACCTTCGTCTTGAGACACTGCGGAAATTTGGACGAAAAGATATATCGGAGCTTCCCGAACGCTGCCCATCCGAGTTGGATTCGACGATTGACCTCTTTCTCGAAATTGGAGCCTACATAGCTGGAGCCGATTCTCAGACCTATGAATATGCATATGAAATTTCATAAAAATCGGTCAAACCGTTTCAGAGGAGTATGGTAACTAACATTGTGACACGAGAATTTTATATATAAGATAATAATAATAACCCAGGACAATTCACACAGCGTCATCTAATTGGAGGGCAAGGGATTTTTTTTGTGGACTAATAACCATTGATAGCAATATACCATACCAGGTTGACCTCCACGCGGTCTCCCTGGAAACTTTCGTGGTAAATTGACATTGGCCATTGGCCAATGGTTTACGCTGGCGGGGCACCAGTGGAAAATTATAAGATGAACATGAGGTCAGGTCAGTTAGCCCCAAATTTACCAAGAATTTATCAGGATGGTTACCAGGGGAAACCGCGTGGAGGTCAACCCGACATGGTACATCTAACATGAGATCATCAGTCCATTACTAACAATCCCCTTCTACCCCAATGGCGAACGGTTTATTTTTAGAGGATAATAATGGAATGATGCACCCGCCTGCGCTAACGGTTTACGCTGGCGGGGCACGGTTGCCGTTTACGGTAACAACTGATATAAATACTTAGGTACATTTAGAGCTTGGGACTAGATGGCACTGTGTGTATTATCCGTGGTTGTGATTATATATTGCATGAAGTTTGACAGTGGCAACACTTAACAATATTATTTGAAATGAAATGAAATGATATTTATTCAGTAGAAGAAAAAACTAAAACACACATTAAACAAACAAAAAAAAGAATAACAAACAGTGCGACAATTACAAAAAACAGTACACAAATTACGTGTGTGTTTTTTGTGCGTGCATGTGTATGTCTGTCGAAGCATCTACTGAATAGGTCCGTGCTCAGCATAATGCTGCAGCGGCTGGAGCGCTGCAACGCTGTTTTTCAGCACAAGACCTGGGATGGTGTATTGCTGTGTTGTACACGATTTATTATATGATATAAAAATAATAATAATAATAATCTCAGGGCAATTCACACAGCGCCATCTAGACCCAAGTTAAGCTAGCTAAAGCTTGTGTTATGGGTACTAGATAACTGATATAAATACACATTTTTTTTTTTTTTTTTCGTAAATACATACTTATTATACATAGAAAACACCCAGACCGATACAAACAATCATACTCATGAATACAAATGTTTGTGCCGTGCGAGGAATCGAACCCGCGACCATCGGACGTAAAGCGGTGTGCTAGACTGCTAGACCACCGAGGTCGTCAATATAATACTAAATATATAATAAATTGATATAAATTAATATACATAAATACACATTTAGCTAAAATAGAGATAGTACACAAAAGACAAGGCGATAATAGATATAAATACAGTCAAACAAGAGATACAGGAGAGTGTATATAAAGATACAGATATATAAAGTAGTGTTGTATTTTTGCCTAGATTGATTTTTGTACTTGCACTTTATTATTACTTTATTTGTTCAAAGACGCACCATATCTGCCTACCAATATTTCTGCTTAATTCCTTTGCTGTTTCGGTTCAAAAAGTGCCATATGGCTGTAAATTAGTACAATGGCATGATTACCGAAAAACAGATTGCTTTGAATTCAAGGATCGTCAGGACCTCAGGTGGTACTAAAAGCTGTTTGCGTACCGTGTACCTCTGTCTATTGACGGCCCCGGCCCCTTACTTCTAACGGTCGCAGGTGATGGTCCACCACGCAAAATGTTCTTGTGTTATATATATGGCATATAACACAAGAACAGACTACAGAACGTCCACTGTATGGGTTTAATATGCTAAATATAGTGAAATATAAAGTAAGTGTATATAATTGTTAAAAGTAGTAGTCTACTTATACACATATTAATAACATAATATTAAACATACATACATTACACTATATATATATGTATGTTTAATATTAAAATAGGAACCGACAAGTAACATGTTTAGAACTTGCGAAGGCTACAGTATATTTCGTATATGAAAACTAGCCAAGTTAGACCTTAGGCTACAGTATATTATCCTAAGTTATAAGAAGAAATGATATTTTATATTGTTATAAATACATTTCAGGACAGACCATTGAACTTGGCACCTATTTAGATCTCATCTCTTTTGTCGTAGAAGTCAACAATCAAGGCATATATCATAATATTAAACTCGGCTATCATTTCACATTTATGTTTTTGATGGGATATAAATACATACATAAAGTACTTTTAATAGCAATAATATATTTTATAGTATAGCTTTCTAGCGCATTGCATTGCGCTGGAGTCCCGCCGGCCGAGGCAGATTAATGTAAATAAATCAAATTTCATATGTAAACAATACGACCTCAGAGACTAGTAAGTTTCAAAGGTTACGCGAAGCTCATGTCTTTCTATAATAAGCTCCTTGTTCTGTACATCTGCTTACGCGCCCGTCGTTAAACCATATCATTCTGGACTTTTCATTTTTCCATATTGTTGACCTCCTTCTGTTAATTAATAAATAAGTGTATTGTGCCTAAACACCAGGCGGAACCCACAAAGTAAGAAACTCATAACATGTCAACAGCAAAATTCACGAGCAACTACTATCTGTTTATCATCATCATCATCTGCTTCTTCCTTATCCCATTTATTTGTGGTCGGCGTAATATGTTTTTAGCTTCCATTCATCCCTGTTCGCAGTCATCGCGTTATTTACTTCCTTTCTTACCATATCATCTTTCACACAGTCCATCCATCTCTTTTTCGGCCTTCCTCTGCCCTTATAACCATCCACATTCATTTGTAACATCTTTCTTAAA